GGTGAACCCAGGAGCCTGGGTTAGCGAGGAACCCAGGTCTTGGGTTCGCGACGTTCGTGAAATCTCTGGGGCTTTCCTAACAAAATGATACCTATCATAAACTTTACTTTTAACAAGATTTTATGATCAGATTTTTTAAATTTTAACCTGATAATAACTAATGATATACTTTCTTTTTAAAATCTTGCAGACTGGACCGTGGAAAATACATTCAAACTGTTACCATCCCCAGGCAGAAGCTGTAAGATCATTTACCAGGTTAAAAAGAAAGTATATGATACCCGGCTGGGGCGATGGCTGCAGGCAATATGCGGCGAGAGGTCTTCTTTACGCGCTTGGATACCTTCTCGAACATGCTCTACAAGAATCTAATCAATAGATCAATGCTGCTCTCCTTTTCATCCTCATCCCACTCATCCACAATCATATTCCATGACAAAGAAAGGTTTGTCAATTGCCGCAGATATCCTTCGGCAACTGAACCATCAAATTGAGAACACAAAATTCAGACACGAAGAGTCAAAGCCAGTTTTTCTGCTCGAGGAGATGGGGAGATTAGAGAAAAACCTAGCTGTGGCAAAATGTGAAATCTGCAGTTTTTTGGGGGAAGGGGTTTGGTGAGAGAAGAAAAGAGTTGCAGGTGGTGGGAGTGAAAAGGGCAGTTGGTTCTTCTCAGGCGTAAGAATAGTGCGCCACGATGCAGACCATGGTCATCAGAAAGCTGAATGAAGAGATAATGTTGTGCAGTCTTGTTTTTTCTTTTGTTTTTGCCTTGATGTGCAGTCTGGATTTTATTTTTTTCCCGGGATGTGCAACCTGGATTCACTGCAGATCGTCTTCATATTTAACTTCATTTAATTTTATATATATATTTTTATTACATATATATTTTTTAACATAAAGAATTACGGAAAAGAAATTATAAATAGGAGTGAGATTCAACACTATAAAATAAAATTATTTTTTATAGCATATTAAGTAGCCACTGGAGCTACTAGTACTTGTCTATACTTTTTTTGTTATATAATAAATATACTTCGGGTGACGTTTTTTCATTCATCATGTCTTCCGGCAATGGAATCTGCATCATTAGTTATTACCAGGTTAAAATTTAAAAAATCTGCTCATAAAATCTTGTTAAAAGTAAAGTTTATGATAGATATCATTTTGTTAGGAAAGCCCAGAGATTTCATGAACGTTGCGAACCCAAGATCTGGGTTCATCACGAACTCGCGAGCTGGGTTCCTTGCGAACCCAGGCTCTTGGGTTCGCCTGGAAGTAAAAAAAAAAAAAGGAAAAAAAAAAAGGCTGGAGGAAGGAGAAGCTAGGGAAGAAGATGAGGGTATATTAGTAATTAAAGGTAAAAAATTTTACATGTCATTAATTTTTGTCACGTGAATTTTTCACGTATTTAGTAAAAAAAAAAAATAAATGTTTCCGTTAATTAACTTGTTACATCAACTAAAATTTAACAGAAAGGTTAAAAAGGAGTCGGATTTATGAACAGTAAAGATCAAAAAAAATTTTTTTTCGGTACAAAGACCAAAAAAAAGATTTTTTTGGTACAAGGACTAAAAAGGATTTTTTTCTATAGTAAAGGAACCAAAAAAAGTATTAAACTTATAAATTTGTAAAAGAAAAATTTAAATTTATAAAATATAAATAGTATTTAAAAGTTAAAACTCCTAGAAGTGGCACAAAACATGCTCTAAAAAGTGGGTGTTTGATACATCTGGTCGAAAAACCTTTTGAAGTCCAAAAGGTGCAAGTTGCACTAAACACCCCTACTTCTCATATTGTCTTCAGTTGGTGAGAATCTCCAACCAGCTTCCATTCTTTGAAAATTTTGGAAGTAAGAAATCCAAGTTTTTGCGGTAGCTTCCAGCTTTCAATTAATGAAATTTACTTATTATACTTATTTTACTCTCATATTTTAATAAATTTACGATTAAATCACTATATATACTGCTTCCATAATTTTGCATCTCTTCCTTGCCTATCGATTGCTCCCCCCTTCCTGCCAATTGCTCCCCCCTTCACCCATCTTCCATATGCCGTACTTCTCACCAGATCCTGACCTCGACTTTTTTGGTACCCTCATCTCCAATTCCTCCTCTCTACCCATCATCAAACAATAAAACACACAAAAAATTAAAAATCTTTTTGATTTTTTGCACGAAACAAAAAAAATTTGTGAGGCTCAAATGCAGCGGCCGCTGGGTTCAAACGCAGCGGCCATTGGTTGGAACCCATGCGTGCTGTGTTCGAACCTAACCTAGCGTGCTCGGTTCCAACGCAGCTGTCGCTGGGTTTCAACCACTGGAACCCACACCTCCGCAAACCCAGCATGCTTCTTTGTAAACATTTTATTATTAACATTTATATTTTATAAATATAAAAATTTCATTTGTAAACATCAATTTTAACATAATTAAATTAAAA